AAAAAAAAAAAAAAAAGAAAAAAAGAAAAAAAAATAAATATAAAATTAATAAAGAAACGAGCAGAGAGAAGGCAGCTGGTTTAGAGTAAAGTTCGATCGAGATGACGTACTGAGTGGGCGAAGATTTCAGGAACAAAATCCCTCTCTTCTTCTTTGGCTCTTTTAATTCACTTGCGATCTGCTTTCTTGTTCGGAATCTGAAGAAATTCCGACAAGATGGAAGCAAATGCGGGATTGGTGGCTGGATCTTACAAGAGGAATGAGCTTGTTCGTATTCGCCACGATTCGGACAATGGGGTTAGACTTCATCCACATTCATTTAATTCATCAACATTCATTTAATTCATCAACATTCAATCCGATCTTCAAATCAATATTTTAGTTTTTCGTTTTTGATTTTGTGATCTTAGTATTACTTAGTGTGCGGTGTGTTGATCTGTGAAGTGGAAGTTCAGATTGTATTTGTTTTTTCCTTTGATTCTTCTCGTTTGCGAATTTGTCTTCTTAGGGGATTTGGAACTGATTGTTAGTTCTGTAATTCTATAGAACTAGATCCGTTCTGTTCTTTTGAGCTCTTTCGATTGAAATATTGTGTGGATCCGTGTGATGATTTGATGTACTGATTGATGATTGAGCTTAAGATTCAATGTCTTAGTGAAGATAGACTGTGGGCTGTTCTCTTTCGTCCATTGCTTGGATTTAGGCATTGGGGGATGTGATTTTTGCTTGTTGCAGCTTGGTTCTTATTTGTCATTAAGGGTGTGAGATACCACATCGGTTGGGGAGGAGAACGAAGCATTCTATATAAGGGTGAGGAAACCTCTCCCTAGCATACGTGTTTTAAAACCTTGAGGGGAAGCCCGGAAAGGAAAGCCCAAAAAGGGCAATATCTGCTAGCGGTGGCCTTGGGCCGTTACAAAGGGTGTATCGATTTCTATCACTTCATGTTTCAATACTGATGTAGAGCTTGATTTTCTTTGCTACTGCTTCTTATGAAAATGCCAAACAACTAATTGAGATGTGTACATTATTTTGCATTGCGACTTATTCAGTCTCATTTTGATGATGCAGCCTAAACCTCTGAAGAACTTAAACAGCCAAATATGTCAAATATGCGGCGACACAGTTGGCCTTACGGCCTCCGGTGATATCTTTGTCGCTTGCAACGAATGCGCCTTTCCTGTTTGTCGTCCATGTTACGAGTACGAGAGGAAAGACGGGAACCAATCTTGCCCTCAGTGCAAGACTAGATACAAGAGGCACAAAGGTTGATTATGTTTTCATGCATCCTTTCCAATGCTGCATTTCTCGAGTAAAAAAAAAGAAAAAGCTTACGATCTGCTGTTTCGTTTCAGGTAGTCCTCGAGTCGATGGCGATGATGACGAGGATGACGTGGATGATATCGAGAACGAGTTTAAATACACCCAAGGAAGTAGCAAGACAAAACAACAATGGCATGGGGAAGATACTGAGCTATCAACTTCTACAAGACATGAATCTCAACAGCCTATACCACTCCTTACCAATGGCCAATCAGTATGAATTTATCAATTCCATAATGCATTTATATATGCAGAGCTATGCTTATTGTGAGATCCCACATCGGTTGGGGAGGAGAACGAAACACCCTTTATAAGTGTGTGGAAACCTCTCCCTAGTATACGCGTTTTAAAAACCTTGAGGGTAAGCCCGAAAGGGAAAGTCCAAAGAAGACAATATCTGATAGGGGTGGGCTTGGGTCATTACACTTACACTTCACTTAATGAACATATTTCGAATTTTACCATATGTTTATGCCATCAAACTATTTAACATCGCTTTCTTTAGGTTTCGGGTGAAATTCCTTGTGCAACACCCGACAATCAATCAGTGCGAACGACATCCGGTCCATTGGGTCCTCCAGACAAGCATTTGCACTCACATCCTTACATCGACCCTCGACAGCCAGGTATCTAAGCACAAGTATTCGATGATTTTCATGACGCCCTTTTTGTTTTAGGTATCTAAGAACTAATTGCATATTACTTTATTATAGTTCCTGTGAGAATTGTTGACCCATCAAAGGATTTAAACTCTTATGGCCTTGGGAATGTTGATTGGAAGGAAAGAGTGGAAGGTTGGAAATTGAAACAAGAGAAGAACATAATGCAGATGACAAGTAGATACTCAGAAGGGAAGGGGGACTTGGAAGGCACTGGCTCCAATGGAGAAGAACTTCAAATGTTAGTAATTTATCTTTACTTCAACGTCAGCTATATACTAATTTATTTGACATCTTTTGTTCATTTCACAGGGCTGATGATGCTAGACAACCTCTAAGTCGTGTGGTTCCGATTCCATCTTCTCACTTGACCCCGTATCGTGTCGTGATCATACTTCGACTTATTATTCTCGGCTTCTTCTTACAGTACCGTTTGACACACCCGGTGAAGGATGCATACCCCTTGTGGTTAACATCAGTTATTTGTGAAGTTTGGTTTGCACTATCCTGGCTTTTGGATCAGTTCCCGAAATGGTCTCCGGTTAATCGTGAAACTTTCCTTGAGCGACTCGCATTAAGGTCAGTTGAGTTCTTTTGCATATTATCTAATCAAATGGATTTAGATTGGAAGAATAAGGACAGGAGTTGTGTATAAGTTAATTGGTGTCTTCACCGTGCAGATACGATCGAGAAGGAGAACCGTCGCAGTTAGCTCCTGTTGATGTTTTTGTTAGTACTGTGGATCCTCTCAAAGAGCCTCCACTTGTCACGGCTAACACCGTGCTTTCCATCCTTGCTGTGGACTACCCTGTCGACAAAGTCTCCTGCTATGTGTCGGATGATGGTTCGGCAATGCTTACGTTTGAATCGCTCTCTGAAACTGCAGAGTTTGCAAGGAAGTGGGTGCCTTTTTGCAAGAAGCATAGCATTGAACCAAGGGCCCCAGAGTTTTATTTTGCTCAAAAGATAGATTACTTGAAGGACAAGATTAAACCTTCGTTCGTAAAAGAGCGTCGAGCGATGAAGGTAAGCAGACTACGCACATTCGATGATGATTTCATATTCATATAGTTGTGTTCATTGTTCGATAAGCACTTCCTCTTATAATGTGAGTTTCCTTACACGGTGTTATATGAAATAGTGTCGAGCTATAGTTTCTCAAGCTTTAGCGGGTTTTCGAGCTGGAAATTCTTTAAACTCGGTGAAAGTGCTCAAGATAATGAGAATAGAATCTGGAAACTGCAAGCATGCTTTATGAATCCCCTAAATCCCCCAAATTCTATGAGATCCCACATCGGTTGGGGAGGAGAACGAAACATTTTTTATAAGGGTGTGGAAACCTCTCTCTAGCAAACGTGTTTTAAAAACTTTGAGGGGAAGCCCGAAAGGGAAAGCCCAAAAAGGACAATATTTGCTAGCAGTGGGCTTGGGTTGTTACAAACGGTATCAGAGCCAGACACTAGCCAATGTGCCAGTGAGGAGGCTGAGACCTGAAAGGGGGTGGACACAAGGTGGTGTGCCAGCATCCTAGGTGGTGTGCTAGCAAGGACGCTGTGCCCCGAAGGGAGGTGGTCCCACACCAATTGGAGAAGGGAACGAGTGCCAGCGAGAACGTTGGACCCCTAAGGGGGGTGGATTGTGAGATCTCACATCGGTTGGGGAGGAGAACAAAACATTCTTTATAAGGATGTGGAAACCTCTCCCTAGCAGACACGTTTTAAAAATTTTGAGGGGAAGCCCAAAAGGGAAATCCCAAAGAGGACAATATCTGCTAGCGGTGGGCTCGAGATCGGACTTGAAATGTTACAAATTTACTAAGCCTTAGTCTTTGGAATAACTTTTTTCCATCTTCTTTGTTAGTCGTTCGGTAGAGTTAAAAAGTTATGGTATTGTTTTTCAGAGGGAATATGAAGAATTCAAGATTCGAATCAATGCACTTGTTGCCAAAGCACAAAAGATGCCTGAGGAAGGTTGGACCATGCAGGATGGAACGCCATGGCCAGGAAACAATCCCAGGGATCATCCTGGAATGATACAGGTCTCCTAGTGTTCAAATAGCTTCTTATGACATCTTCTTTTATCCTTTTTTCGGGACTAATACCGATATCGTGTATGTTCGAGTGCAGGTTTTCTTAGGCCACAGTGGAGGTCTCGATACCGATGGCAATGAACTACCTAGACTTGTTTATGTTTCTCGTGAGAAACGTCCCGGCTTCCAGCACCACAAAAAAGCTGGAGCTATGAATGCATTGGTTCGTTATTCTTATCGGATACAGTCATGGCATAAAAGATACAATAATTTTGATTTAACGACTTGATTTTATCTCATATGCAGATCCGAGTTTCTGCCGTGCTAACTAACGGAGCGTATCTATTGAATGTCGATTGTGATCACTACTTTAACAACAGCAAAGCTCTGAAGGAAGCCATGTGTTTCATGATGGACCCTGCTTATGGGAAGAAAACATGTTACGTACAGTTCCCACAACGTTTTGATGGCATTGATTTGCACGATCGATATGCCAATCGTAACATTGTCTTTTTCGACGTAGGGTATTTGACGTTTTCAATCACATATCTTCATGTCATTTTGCTTGTGATTGACATCGTGTTCGTTCTTGCTATACTTTTCAGATAAACTTGAAAGGGTTGGATGGTCTCCAGGGTCCTGTCTATGTCGGAACTGGTTGTTGTTTCAATCGACAAGCTTTATACGGTTACGATCCAGTCCTGACCGAGGCAGATTTGGAACCGAATATTATCATTAAGAGTTGTTGTGGTTCGAGAAAGAAGCATCGGAATAAGTACGTCGACAAGAAGAGGGCTGCAAAAAGGAATGAGTCTACCATTCCGATCTTTAATATGGAAGATATTGAGGAAGGCGTTGAAGGTCGGTTTTCCTTCAAAATACTTTGCCATAGTTTTCGAGTTACGGTGACAAAGAACAGAATTATAGAACGGATTTTCACCTTATTTGCTGTATCCTACAGGATATGATGATGAGAGTTCACTCCTGATGTCTCAGAAGCGTATAGAAAAACGCTTCGGCCAATCTCCGGTTTTCATTGCAGCCACTTTCATGGAACAGGGAGGTATACCTCCTTCAACCAACCCTGCAACACTGCTAAAGGAAGCAATTCATGTCATCAGTTGTGGTTATGAAGACAAGACAGAATGGGGCAAGGAGGTTAGTTGTCTGTACATTCGTCGTCCTCATTTCATTTATCTTATTTCCTCTTGTCTGCCCGTTCATTAGAGAGCTTCAAAGACGAGCACACTAATCTTACTAAAGAAGTGAGAAAGTGCTCCGTGATGGGTTGTGAGATCTCACATTGGTTGGGGAGGAGAACGAAACACTCTTTGTAAAGGTGTGGAAACCTCTCACTAGCAGACGCGTTTTAAAAACCTTGAGGGGAAGCTTGAAAGGGAAAGTCCAAAGAGGACAATATCTGCTAGCAGTGGGCTTGGGCTGTTACAAATGGTATCAGAGCCAGACACCGGACGATGTACCGGCGAGGAGGCTGTTCCCCAAAGGGGGATAGACACGAGGCGGTGTGCCAGTAAGGATGCTAGGCCCCGAAGGGGGTGGATTTGGTAGGGGTCCCACATCGATTGGAGAAAGGAACGAGTGCCAGCGAGGACGCTGGGTCCAAAAGAGGGGTGGATTGTGAGATCCCAAATCGGTTGGGGAGGAGAACGAAACACCCTTTATAAGGGTGTGGAAACCTCTCCCTAGCAAGCGTGTTTTAAAAACCTTGAGGGGAAGCCCGAAAGGAAAGCCTAAAGAGGACAATATCTGCTAGCGATGGACTTGGACGGTTATAAATTGTGTCTAACGGTTAATGTTTTTACTTCTAGATTGGGTGGATCTATGGTTCTGTGACAGAAGATATTTTAACGGGGTTTAAGATGCATGCTCGTGGTTGGATTTCAATATATTGTATGCCTCCACGCCCGGCGTTCAAGGGATCTGCTCCAATCAATCTTTCGGATCGATTGAACCAAGTGCTTCGATGGGCTTTGGGTTCGATAGAGATTCTGCTCAGCAGGCATTGTCCTATCTGGTATGGCTACAATGGAAGGCTAAAGCTTTTGGAGAGAATAGCATACATCAATACCATTGTCTACCCTATCACCTCAATTCCACTTCTTGCATACTGTACGCTTCCAGCCTTCTGTCTTTTGACCGGAAAGTTCATCATTCCTGAGGTAATTCATAGTTTCTTCCTTATGAAATTGAAACTTGATATGTCTAGTTTGTTTAATCTGATCTAAATGTGGGCTCTTCCTTATGTCTAGTTCAACAACATTCGAAATGTTGAGAGAACTTCAACCTCTCGCCTCTTTGTCAAGGGTATATACCAATTGTCGTGAGTTAGGCTCACTTTGGCTATAACAGTTCAAGTCCACCGCTAGCATATATTGTCCGCTTTTGCCCGTTATGTATTGCCGTCGGTTTTTAAAACGCGTCTACTAGGTTGAGGTTTCCACACCCTTGTTAGAAATGCTTTGTTTCCTTCTCCAACCGACACCGCTCGGTGTCTGGATCTGATACCATTTGTAACAGTTCAAGCTCACCATTAGCAGATATTATCCTCTTTGGGCTTTCCCTTTCAGGCTTCCTCTCAAGGTTTTTAAAACGTGTCTACTAGGGAGACGTTTCCACATCCTTGTAAAAAATATTTTGTTCCCCTCTCCAACTGATGTGAGATCTCACATTGGCACTCCATATATTTTGATATATGTAGGTGTAACAATTATGATACGCGACCCCTTCAAGGCCCTTGTCATAGCTTGAGAAGCTTCTCATCTAGATAGTATGGAATCAACAATCATCATCTATTTCGTATTTTCTATCCCGGGATTTCGTTGATGTCCTACTGCTCTGTTGGTTTGAGCCTCTCGACTTCCGAGCGTTCTTTTCAATAATCAAAGAACAGTCTTTATGATGACTAAAAAAAAAAAAGCTGATACTAGCTGCAAGTATCCATATTTCTTTCATTTTAAATAACTGATCATCTTCATTTCGTAATTTGCAGATAAGCAACTTTGCCAGTATGTGGTTCATTCTCCTTTTCGTCTCCATTTTTGCCACCGGTATTCTCGAGCTTAGATGGAGCGGGGTTAGTATTGAAGACTGGTGGAGAAACGAACAATTTTGGGTCATTGGTGGTACTTCAGCTCATCTGTTTGCTGTCTTCCAAGGTCTCTTAAAGGTTCTTGCTGGAATCGATACCAACTTCACCGTCACGTCGAAAGCCAGCGACGATGATGGGGATTTTGCAGAGCTTTACGTGTTCAAATGGACTTCCCTCCTCATCCCTCCCACCACTGTCCTTATTATAAACATGGTTGGCATAGTGGCTGGTGTTTCATATGCCATTAACAGTGGTTACCAATCTTGGGGCCCTCTCTTTGGGAAGCTGTTCTTTGCATTATGGGTCATTGTCCATTTATATCCTTTCCTAAAGGGTTTATTGGGGAGGCAAAACCGAACGCCAACCATTGTCATCGTCTGGTCGATTCTCCTCGCTTCGATATTCTCCTTGCTTTGGGTGCGAATCGATCCGTTCACCTCTGCGTCGACGAAGGCTGCCAATGGTCAATGTGGTATCAATTGCTAGACAGATTCATCATAGTTTTGCCCCTGATTTTTCCTGTGAATATGACAAGAACAAAGAAACCATGGCATTGAAAAGAGCCAGGCTTAGGAAGAAGCAACCAATTTGAAGAACATGAGAAATGATGGCCTTTTTTCTCTACACCACAATTTTTGTATTCGCATGTTATGATATTATTGTGAAATCTCATTTTTTTTAATGAAAATAATAGATAAAGGAATTATTTACATCAGGAGAAATTGTATGAACAAACACTTTTTTTTATACCTTTTTTTCAAGTTTTATGACAGTGAAATTATAATTTAATAATTGTTCTTCAAGTGATTTAGACCACAGTTTATCAGCACCAGAAATCTATTCTATCTGATATATATACGCCCAGAATCTCTTCCTTTTTACGAGCGTATGAGTTACGTTCTTGTTAACTTGTCTTCTGCTGCTCGAAATGACACCAGTAACGGGAACGTCGAGCTACCTCCGACGGGACCAATTAAAGGCTCTGATGGCAGAACATGTAATCACTCTGAATCAAACGGGTGGTTGCATCTTGTTGTGTAAGTGAAGGGAATCCAAAACGAGAGAGAAGTCTTCACAAAAGCTGATATCCATCATCATCTCATTGATTGGTTCACCAAGCTATTAGTCTTGTTAAAGTCGGTAGCTGAGATTCTCTTCTTCTCCCGAACAGCATTAGATTATTTTTTTTACTACTTAAGAATACCACTTTCCATTAAAAGAGCTGTGGACATAGCTAAACTTTCTTTCATGCTCGACATAGAAAAGAAAAGTCAAATCTCAAGGCCATTGCCTTTCTTTTACCGACTAAATTTGAGGTATAAGTTTTATTTGTCATCTTATTTCAAGTAATTTAAATTAGATCCTAAGATATTATACCTTTCTAAATACCTTGACTATGTAATTATAAAAAAAAAAAAATTAATTTAAAATTGAAAGATTTATACAAGTTTCTTCTGGTTTGGTCTAACTCTTGTTTTGTTCATGAGTTTTGAGAATGTCCCAAATTCACATATTGAATTGAAAGATCCAGACAAAAGATCATGTGGGTAAGCAAGCAGTTGTCAGATAAGCATTGGGGTTAATCAGAACTGACCCATAAAGCCAAATCTAATCCACAGAGTATCATTAACAACAGAACAATTGAATACAGCCTAAAGTGAACAGATAAGCACTCAACTGAACCTTCATAGTTTTCCTAAACAGTTGTAAGAGAAAAGGAAATTGAAATTGGGAAAAGGGGAAGAGGATGATGCTGTGAAGAAATAATTAATGAAAGCTGAAAGCAAAATGGGGTTTGAGATTTTCTAATTCTGCAAGCTTCATCACATTCATCAATGGCGGCAGGCATCTCAATCAAGCAACAGAACCAAATCTCATGCACCTAATAATATTACTAAAAGCCTAAAGTAACAATGGAGAATGAAGAAATGTAGAACAAAAACCTGAATTTGAGTCCATGAAGAGATCCCAAATTCTTCAGCTGCTCCAATTCTCCATATCAATCCTTCTCTTTGTTCTTTGTTCTTCCTGGATTATTGCTATGTTCTTCGTTCTCATCTCTGAATTCAGGCTTCAGATTCGTTCTTCTTCACCAATCCGTCAATCTCCCTCTTCTCTAGCAATGTCCCTGCCTCCTCATCGGCCTGAGCAGCCTTCTTTTGCACCTCTTTAGCCTTCAGAGCCTGCAATTTTGAGTGATTGTAATATCCAACTCCGATGAAAGCCAATCCATAGCCGAACAAGTTGATCGGCGTTACAGTGTCCTTAATCACCGACCACGAGAAGGCGATTAGGAGCCAATCCTTGACCACGCCGGCCACGTTCATCGTTAGGGCGGAGGTTTTGCCAACGAGCAAGAAAACAGCGAGATTTAGGGCAAATGCGCATAAGGAATTGGTACCAAAGATCGCGAAATCGAAATGGAAACTGGATGTGGCCATCAAAATTGGATACTCAACGAAGATCCACGGCACTAACAAGAAAACGAAACAACAAGGAGCAACGTAATACAGGGAAGTGATCGGATTCAGCGAGATTCCTTTAGAGGTAAGCAAAATCTGGATTAGAACAAGTCGAGTCGCCTCGAATGCAACGGCGCCGAGTTGCAAAACCACACCCCAGGCATCAAATTTCGCTTCGCCATAAGCAGCAATAGCAACGCCAAACGAAATCGACAGCATATTCACCATCGTCTCCGTCTTGAAACTTTCCTTTCTCAACGAAACACCGATCGAATAAACAGCGACTGGCATCAGAGCCTTAAGCATCTGAATGAACGAGACAGAGAGATAAATGTAAGCCGAATTCGAAAGCCATAAAGAGAGAGAATACAGCGCTCCGATTGGAACAACGGAGGAGAGATAGAGATCTCTGGACATGGAAACCGGCTCGACGACTTTGAAGACACGAATGAGAAGAAACGCCAATGAAGCACAGAAGCCCATATGGATCATGGTAAGAGAAATCGGAAAAGGCCAATCGTACATCTTCTTGTCGAGAATGTACTTGTTGTAGACGATGACGGTGAAGCTGAGGAAGATCCAAATGGCGACATAGGTGTACGAGAGAACAATCTTCTTCAGAACACCTTCACTGAGAGAACCACCCTTGCCCATGGCGTCGATTTGGGGGAAAATGGCAATGAATCCGATGAGGAAGAACAAGAAATTTGCAGGAAATCCGAGAAATGGAGCAGAAGATTCAGCAATGGAGATTCAGAGAAAAGAACTGAGCTCGATTCGAGTACGAATCAGAGAGGGAAGATGAACGAGACGGAGAAATTTGGGAGAATATAAATAAATCGAACAATTAATGGTGAAGAAACACACACAGTCCACAGATCCATTACTGCTTCCATTGTAAATTCTTTCACTCAACAACTTCTAATGAACTCTAAGCATAAATTAATTTTGTTTAATTTTTTATTATTATTTTTTAAATCTTGAATTAATATTTACTATTCAATTTTAATATATTTTTTTCCTTAAATATGAATTTTATTTTTAAGATTTATCAAATCTAAAAAATAATTATGAAATTAAGAAAATATATATATATATCATAACCAATAATATGTGTTTATATTTTTTTAAATTAATTTAGCACAAATAAATTGATAATATAATTGGATTTTATTTATTTTGTATTTTGTTATATTTTTCTTTCCTTTTTTCTTTTTTTTTTTTCATTGGCCAAATAATGAAATAAAGAAAGTGTGGGGTCTGAAATGAAAAGAATCTTATTTTGTTGTCTTGTGTCCCAATTTTTAAATGATCGAGTGACTCCCATGTTTGAATTTGAATTTTGAATTTTGAAATAGTTTCTTTACCATTTTATTAAATACAATTTATGGAATAATAATTACGGATCGTAATAACTCAACCCCACTGCTAATAGATATATTTGCTTTACCATTTTATGTATCGTCATCAGCCTTATGATTTTAAAATGCATTTAGCTAATGACGATATATAACGAACCAAAGCAAACAATATCAACTAGTTATAGGATTGAACTGTTATAATTGATATCAGAATCAGTCACCAAATCGTGCAAGACACTGGTTAGAATAAGGCTAGATCATTTGCATAGTAGCATATTTTAAAACGGTGAGACTAACGATAATATATAATTGTCAGTATTTTTTTTGTATTCAAAATATTATTATTATTTAATCAATTTTGATAAATTAATATAACTAATTATTAAATTTATTGAAAGTAAGAGAATAAAATTAAATATTTGAAAGTATAAATATAAAATAAAATAAAACTCATACCACTATTTTAAATAATAAATATTTTTTTAACGATATTTTAAATAAAAATTTATTATATGGTCAAAATTGTAATATTTTAAAGTTTTAAGGCTAAAAATTTAGAATATATAATATAATGTTTATAATCGGTTTATATTTTTTTTTAAAAATGGCAATTAATTATTAATTTTTAATAAGATGGTAGTAAATAACTAAATTTTAAGTCAAAAGATTTTATTAATGGAATAAATGCCTTTAAATGGGGGGATTTTTCAATTGACCAAAATAAAAATCACGTGCAATGCACGTGACATTTGTCATTTTATTATAAATAAATATTACCTAAAAATGCCAACCCAATTTTGAAAATGAAGCCATTGAAGAATATATTTATATAAAAAAAAACAAGTTGAAATATATAATATAATTATTAGAAAATTAAAAAAAAACATTAAAATTGATATTCATTTAAATTTAATTTAAGGGTAGGGGAAAAAAAATAAAAAGGAAATTTATAGCAATGAAAAAAGGAAGGAAAAAGAAATAAAATATATATTTTTTACTAAAAAATTTAAAAATATTAATGCACATGGAATTAAAAACTTTAAAAATAATATTACAAATATACTAAGATCCAAAATTAAAAAATGCAATTTATTTTTTTGCCTTAAAAAATAAGAATTATTAAAGTTGGCAGTTAGCTGTAATTATAAGCGTTAATTAATAACGTCCTTTTAGTACAAAATAAGCAAAATAATTAAACAATTGAAAATAAAACAATTTTTATTTTTATTTTGAAAGGGAGCCACAAAATAAATAAATAAAAAGTACCTTTTTAACTTATTTAAAATTCGTACCAGGAAAATAAAAGGTTAAATTTTAAAATATCTACCTTCTTTCAACAAAAATTATAAATTTATTTTAATATTTAATAAATATTTTAAATTTTAAATTTTAAATTTAATTTAGTATCTTAATTACTATACTTTAATATTATTCCGTGCTATACTAAACAAATGTAATTTAATTTTAAAATAAGTAAAAAAAAATCAGCTAATTACCAATATTTATAATTATAATTGGTGAATTGTAATTACCAAATATATATATTAAAAAAATGAAAATACTACCATTGTTTAGGGGTGGATGATTTAATTTATAATTAAAATTAAAATTAAGATTTTTATTGTTTAACTAATAAAAAAATTAAAAGAGGACTCTTTTAAGAAAATTTAAATGCAATTATTGCACGTAAAATCCTGATCGTCCAATGGATTAAAGGAATAAAAGACAATCCAACCCTCCGAAATTAAATGTATCATAGTCAAAGTAAAATTGATGTTTACCTAAATGTTTCAATTAATCATTAATTACTTACAATTTTTAGTTTTATATTTTATTTTTAATGAAAATTACTAGAAATTTATTCTAAAAAATTAAAGAATTTTTTTATTAGAATTTTTTTGTTAAATAATAATAATAATAATAATTTTAATGAGGAAA